TATGTATTAAGTTTGCTGAATGAGGTTTGTGATGGCTTTAAACAATTACACTAGTGACATCAAAGATCACTGATCACAGATCTCCATAACAGATACAATGATGAGAAAGTTTGAAATATTGCAAGAATTACTAAAGCGTGTGACGTGGACACATGACGTGAGAACATGCTTTTGGAAGAATGGCGTCAATAGACTTAAACATATGTATGTAGATTTTTGTTGGAGGTAAGTTTTCAACTCTCTTGGGTAAATTCCAAAGAGTGTGATCGCTGGATTATGTGGTAGAGCGTGTTTAGTTTTATGTGAAACTGTCAAACTGTTTTCCATAGTGGCTGTACTATTTTGCCTTTCTTTATTCTTTGAATGTTAAATTTTCATCTGGATATACCTAGATGATCTGGCCTCTTTAAATAGTTTGCCTCGTAGTACTAAGTGCACTTTTTGATCTAAGACTTAATTTTTCAGGTCAGGAAGTTTTCTTTCTTTCTTTATTGCCTGTTTCTCTGTGGGCTCCAGTCTCTCTTTCTGATGTCTACTATTCAAGTATATTTGATTTTTGGACCTTTCTTCTCTTTTGCTCTCTCTTCTATTCTCTTTATTTTTTCTGAGTTATATGGAAGGGTTTCAAAACAGTCTTTCTTGATTGAGTTTTTAATCTAAAATAAATTTTTGCTTTTAATATTTTTTCATATTCAGATATAGATTGACCTATGGAATTGTATTTAGAATATAAATTATTTTACTGGTTCTACTGCTTAGAATCTAGTAACCCTAGTAATAAGGATACAACACCTTTCATCTTTTTTTTCTATGTCTAATGAATTTTCTCTATTTGTTCACTTTCTGGAGGGACCTAGATCTAGTTTGGGGTTGGGATATGAAACAACATCTATAAAAGATCAGGTAGATCATTTTCAAGCATATTCAAGCATGGGGAAGGAAGAAAAATAGATTATGGTTTAGTTTTCTAGACTGGGAGATCAATTTGCCATGATTAGGTCAGGAAGAGCATCTGAGAAAAGGAGAGAAGTTTGCTGCTAGCCTGGGAAAATTCTTACCAGCATTTCCGGAGGCAGCCCTGAGTTGAGTGGAGCTATGTTTCTCTTCTGTAACTGGCATGGGCACCCAGGTTAGGGACCTCATGGCTAGTGTCCCTGTTTTCTTGTGCAAACCAAAAAGATGGGCTGAGCCATGGACAACTTCTCTGTGAGCAGACACCCAAGGTCGTCCCTCAATTTGTTTCCTGCCTGTGCCCACCTCACCCTTGTTCTTAGTTCTGGATGTATATTGTAGGGCTTCTGGGGCATATCCTCCTTTACTTTTCAGGAGCGACCTTTATAAGTCAACAAATATCCATCAGCTTGGTTTCATTTGCACTGTATCTTGTAGAAATTCATTAAAATTCAAGTGACTCTTTACTGATTTCAAGTATGGAATTTTATCTTCCATATTTCAATTATTTGGCTATTTCCGCAGAAATTTGGAATGGAGAGACATTAAATGCATGGGTTTGAATTATGACCTATAAATAAGAATCAGGATACCATTAACTTTTGACAGGGCAGAACACAACTGATTTATTTACAGTGTGACCACTAGGTGGTGCCACTAATTAGTGAAAACAATGTGATTGCTACAGCTAGACAACCACCTGCCGCTGGCACAAGCAGAAGTTGTGAGCTTGTCTGGAACTTGTACGCACTTGTGTATATACATGAGTTTGTACACACACAATTATTGGTGTGACGTTGATTTACAAGTGTACACATGCATGCAAGTATATTCACAAGTCTGTGTACCCTGGAAAGTAAGGCCATGAAACTGAGATGAGCTTACCCGTCAAAAACTTGCCAGTCAGCCATGTGGCCTGAGACTCTTGTTCCTTAGCTAGGAAGGCTGCTTTCAGGGTGTGCAGAAAGCCACACCCTGGGAGAGAAATACAACAAGGCTACAGAACAGCTTTGCGGAACCAGGGAATGCTTAGACATAGCCATCATTTCTCTAAAGTCATCAGCCCTGCAAGCCCTTGTGTCCAGTCAAGCTTCCATGAAGGTTTCAGTCCCTTCTGAAGTCATGAGGGACTGTAGTATCAAAGTCCTGGTCCCCTCATCCTGAGTGCCCAAAACATCTACTAAACGTCCACCTTGGAATCCTGTCCTCTGCCTAGATGGGGAATGAAACTGCACCTGAGAAAAAAGATATGGCATGTGTGGGTGGGGTCCTGTGACCCTGGCCCCCTCAAGCTCATCCACACCTACACATCATCTTCCCATTGTCTCTGTGGAAGGTCCCAGCTGATCTCAGGCCCTCACTCTGAACAGCTCTCCCTGCAGGCCTGGTGCTGCATTGACTTCCTGCTGTGTAGAATAGCCCACAAAGCTGGGGATACTTAGGCAAGTCCCTTCTCTTCTCTGGCTTCTGTTTCCCTACCACTCAGTGAAGGCTGGGGCTGGGTGAACCTCCAACGGCCATTTGTGCTGACTGAAGTTCTTCCACTTCACATGTTGCAGGCCCTGCCCCCATTCCAGTGGCTGGTGTGGAGTGGGAGTCTCCTCGGAGAAGTTCTGAAGAAGAAAATGCCATTGACTTCCTTTTCCTCCTCCTTAGAGCAGACTTGCCTCCTTAATTCTCCCTCAAGGGAAGGCAGCTGGGCTCCGAGGGCCCAGAAATCTATGGAGGAGTTCTTACTCCAGCATCATTAAAAGTTCAAAACAACTTTTCCTAAGGGCCAAAGAAGCCCTAAGACTCTTTATACCTGCTGTCCCTTGAGCCCAATTTGGTTGAAAAGAATGCTCAGCCTTTTCCTCCGGTGAGGGTTTTCACTAAGGGTTTAAGGCCTCCCTCAGAGAACTCGGCTAAGACTGAGTCAGAGGTGTCCCTCGAGGTCACCTCTTGTCCTGGGACTCAGGGTCAGGGAAAGGGGTTTGCCCCAGGTCCTGGGTAGAGCTGCTGCCAGAGCTCAGAGTGGCCTTGCCGGTACCTGCACACATTCCTTGGGGTGGCAGGAAGATGAGCACCGACTCAGGAGGAGTCTGGAGGGAGGGGAAGGGGCCCATCCTGGGGGATAGCTTTGGGGGCTCCAGTGTGGGTAAGGAAAAGCTTCAAGAACAACCCCAAAAGCACATAGCAGAAAAGGCTGCCCAGGGAGAGTGAGTGCCTATCCCTGAGGCCTGGGAACAGGATGGGACAAGTGCTTCCTGTGAGGAACTGAGGGCACTCAGGACCAGTGGGAGGGGAGAGAGTGACTGCTCAGATCCTGGCTGCTCTGTAAATTCTCCACCAGGCAGGAATAGCATTTGCGGCTGCTGGGTGGGGACCATGGGACAGAGCAAGGGGCATGCTCTTTATGGCCCATTGGGACTGTTGAACTGGGAGCCCAAGGCTGGGACTGGGGCCTGACCTTTAATCCCTGTGGCCTCCTTCTTGCCACCCAGCAACCTTGGATTGACACTGGGCCCTCTTGCCTCCCAGACCCAGCAGGGCAGAGGGCCTCCCTAGATAGCTAAAGTCTGCCTGTGGTGCCTCCCTGAGCTCCTGAAGCTCGTTGAGCTCGGGATAGTGCTCCCCTGGAGGCCTTTGTGGGCTGCAGGGCAGGAATCACAGACTCTCAGATGACAATGTCTCCCATGTAAACTAGTGGTAGGACATGGTTTAAGTGCTTTATGTCTCAACTCCTTTAAGCCTCAGAAAACCCTATGAGAAAGGTAACAGAGGAGGAAATCGAGGCACAAAGAGATTAAGTCAGTGGCCCCCAACCAGGCACTGGGGCAATTTTCCATGGATGGGGTGGGGAGTGGAGGGTAGGCAGAGGTCAGGCGGTGATGCTAGCATTGAGGAGCTTTGGCCACTGCTTTGCTTGATGGCCCACTGTTCACCTTCTTCTCTCTGGCTCAGTTGCTATGTTTCACAGAAGACAACCTCCGCTCCCCTGATGACTGTGGGTGGGGATGGGGGACTGAGGGGTGGTGGACCTCTGTGCCTGGCTCCTAACAGGTGCAGATTGCCACAGCCCGGGGGCTGGAGACCACAGGGTTAGGTAACTAACTTGTATACAGTCTCAGAGCTAATGAGTTGTGTGGTTCCAAAGCCCATGCTTTTAATCTCTGTGCTATACTGTCCCTATAAGAAGCCCAGACAGGGGAAGTTCCTCAGCCCAGTGGCAGAGTGGCACAAGCCCCAACACTCAGGGTTCTTCCCTCAACCATACAAGGCCTGACAGCTCCTCTGTCTCTTCAAGGCCTCTCTACCAGGCCTTCACAGGGTTAACAGCAGCCTGGACTTGCCCTTGGCCGGCAGCTCCAGTCCAAACAGACTTTACCCACATTCCCTGGCTGCCGTCCAGCCTGAAAGAGCTGAGAACAAATTTCCAGACTGAGAAGGCTGAGCAGAGGGCAGGGAGCAGCAAGGAGCCATGAGTGGAGAGGGACAGTCCAGCTCCCAGGTGCTAGGCCTCCTGGGGAGCACAGCCCTCGTGGGATGGGTCACAGGCACTGCAGTGGCTGTTCTGCTGCTGCTGCTGCTGTTGGCTGCTTGCCTTTTCCATGGACGGCAGGACCCTGATGTGGAGAGGAACCGTCCAGCTGCAGGGGGAAACCGAGTCCGGTGGGCCCAGCCTTGGTTCTTCCGGCGCCAGGGCCGCCTGGGAAACTTTCATCATCACCATCATCATGGCCATGTGACTCACATGCGGAATGCAGGCCTCCATCACCACCACCTCCACCATGCTCCTCACCACCACCACCACCAACCCCACCGCCATCACCTGCGCCACGCTCGTTGAGGCTGCCACTGCCGGTGCCTGTGGACGGCAGCCAGCCCTGCCTGGGCCCTCCGTTACCAGGACAAGTAAACCCGCTGTGTTGAAGGATGCTTCTCTGGGGCGAATGAGGGGTATCGTGACCTGGGTCCTGCAAGGACTTATTCATACTATGCCCCAGTGCACTGAGGGACGTTGGGTCCACCCCGAGGACTCTAGGGTGCTTGGGGGCAGAGAACAGGTATGGCCCTTTGGGACTGGACATCCACCTTGTGACTGTGACTCCCAGTGGGTCCCAGAAGTCACAAGGGTGTCTTGGCAGAGCCAGCACATAGTTGGGTATAAAGTGCTCATTTTCTACGTCCTTAAGAGGCAGCTGTAGGCCTCTGGCAGGCGGGTCATGAGGACAGGTACCGGGCATGCCCTGTGGGTTTGGAGAAGGCAACATGGGGCTTGCGGTCAATTCATTGGTGCCTTATCCAAGAAAATAAAAACCACTAAGAAGCTTTTGTGAAGAGGCTCTTGATTGCAACATAGTAGGAGGGAGGGAGCCATGGGCCTGTGTCTGTGAAGCCCTGGGACTGCTCCTCTGATGGGAAACATGTGTCTGGATCTCAGACTGGGGCTGGGGTCTGGCTGTGAACTGGGTGGCTTTGCCTGAGCCCCAAGGGAGGATTCAGGAACTGCATGAAGCCCTTCTCAGAGAGGGCCCTCTGTGCACCAGAGAGGCTGTGGCCTTCTGGGGGACACCCTGGGGTCTCAGGGCAGTGTAGAAGCCACTGAGCCTGGCTCCCTAGAGGTCTACTCCTGTCCTTTTCCCAGCCCATGTCCAGGGAAGATTGAGCTCAGGCCTTATGGAAACCCCACCCTACAGACTGTGCTGAATTCTGAATTCAGTTTCATTTTTTTTTTTTTTTTTTGGAGACAGAGCCTCAAGCTGTCCCCCTGGGTAGAGTGCCGTGGCATTACAGCTCACAGCAACCTCCAACTCCTGGGCTCAAGCAAGTCTCCTGCCTCCGCCTCCCAAGTAGCTGGGACCACAGGCGCCTGCCACAACGCCCGGCTATTTTTTTTTTGGTTGCAGCCGTCATTGTTGTTTGGTGGGTCCAGGCTGGGGATTCGAACCCGCCACCTTAGGTGTACGTGGCTGGCGCCTTAGCCGGTTGAGCTATAGGCGCCGAGCCTGAATTCAGTTTCATTGATCAGGGTTTCTTATCCAAGCTTAGGTCTCCAGCCAACCCCAGCTGCTGCCTGTGTTGTAGCAGGGTGGGAGGGAGGGTGTGGAGTTCTTGAAACTGGATGATGGCTTGCTAGGTGGCCTTAGGAGAGTGTTTGCTTACTCTGGGCCTCAGTTTCCTCTTCCCTAAAGTGGGATGGATAAGAAGATGTGCTCTTGCCAAATCCTGGAGGCACATTCTCAAATGCTCTATGAACAGCTGGTAGAATCCATGGTGAGGAAGGAGGTCTGGTTCTGAGGCTTCAGTCTATGCCTGCGAGCTGGGCAGGAAGTAGAGGGAGAACAGGCCCGGGGGCTAGGAGAGGCAGGGGCCAGGGCTGCACAGCTGGCCAGGAAGTCAGGGGCCTGGTGACTCACAGGAATAGAATGTCCTCTGTCCTTGCTATTTCCTAGTGGATTCTCCACAAGGGCTGAAGGAGGGGGACCGAAGGTGAGAGACATAAGTTCGCACTAGGTTTCTGAGGTGAGAAGTGGACCACAGGTCACCATGCCTTGTTGATTCTACCTCTGCAGTGTCCTTTGAGTCCAGGCCCCTCTTCATCCCATGTTCTGCCTAGCTCAAGTCTCTCCGCAGCCGGGGCACCAGCCACAGCCTCCTCTGTCTCTAACTCAGTGCTAGCCTGGTTATACGGATGAATCAAATCAGAGTAAGACATTCCCCCAAATCTCAGACATGGAAAAAGAAACCCATACAAGTCAGAAGACTGGAGGGTCGAACCATCACCCTTCATTCTAGTTTGAAAATGCTGAATTGCTCGTACCTATGGCAGGCAACTTACAGCTGCGCACACCCACAAAGAGCAGGCAAAGGAACAAATGAGCAAGCGTGAAACATGGCCCCGTGGTGCCCTCTACTCAGAAAACACAGGTCCCACAGATCAGTTCATCGTTTCCTTCCTTCTGCTTCTGGTTGCCCACTTAACACAACCCAGGGGGTCTGCCTCCTATCATGGCCATAGCATGTGCGCGTGTGGGAGGAGCCCAAGGCCCACGATGTTAGCACGAGGAAAGAATGAGAATATGACAGGGCATCGTGTTCTCTGAAAATGAAAAGTCAACTCTTATTTTGTAGAAGTTTCTTTTCTTTTCTTTTCTTTTTTTTTTGAGACAGAGTCTCAAGCTGTTGCCCTGGGTAGAGTGCTGTGGCATCATAGCTCATAGCAACCTCAAACTCTTCGGCTGAAGCGATTCTCTTGCCTCAGCCTCCCAAGTAGCTGGGACTACAGGTGCCTGCCACAACGCCCGGCTATTTTTTGTTGCAGTTGTCATTGTTTAGCTGGCTTGGGCTGGGTTCAAACCTGCCACCCTCAGTGTATGTGGCTAGCACTGTAACCTCTGTGCTATAGGTGCCAAGGCTTGTGGAAGTTTCTTAATACTGGTTCTAAAGAAAGTTCCCTTGGGCCCTGGAGAAACTGAAAAGGACCCATGCTGTGTGACCTTGGGCCAGACCTCTGCCCTTTCTGGGCCTTTGCACCCTGATCAGTAAAACTGAAGAGTCAGGTGAGCACTCTGTGGTCATGTGGTACCTGGAAAGAGCACTGAGTTGGGACAGGAAGGAGTCCCTCCCCCACCATTTGGTGCTCTAGTTATTACTGCTAATTAGCAGTGGACCACTGGTGGGTCATTTAACCTCTATGAGCATCAGCCTTTTAAACTGTAAGATGGAGACAATGTGACTACACAGAGCTGCTGGGAAGACCATAGGAGGTAAGGCCTGGCCGTGTCCAGTACCTGAGATACTGCTTCTTACTACCCCATTTCTCAGAACACTAACAAAGTGGAGCTAACAGTGTAGTGTCTTTTCAAGAGGTGTTGGGTGTGAAAAGGCTCTGACCTGGGAAGGGCCAGGATGGAGCCCCTTCTAGCAGATGAACTTAGTGTCCTGTCCTAGCTCATTCCCTAGGCTCCACCCCATCCCCAGGATGGGGTGGAACAGGAATGGCAATGGAGTGTGGGGGGCAGGGTAAGGCTGTCACTGAGGAAGGCAGCTGTGTGGGTCTTGGGCCCCCATTCACAATTAGAGGAAGGAATTCAGGAAGTGCTCAAAGCTGCTCAGACATCTTCAAGCCAGGTTCCAAGCAGGACCAAGCACCCAGGGAGGAGCTTCATGGTCCCTGGGGCAGCCACCAGGCCGGGAGGCCATAGCACAAGGTGCAGGGAACGCTGGTCTTCAAGATGCTCAGGGTAAGTCTTCACCGCACCCGGGTGTGAGCAGCGGGCCTGAGTGGGCAGCAAAGAGGGTTGGGCGAGGCCTGTTCTGAGGAAGGCTTCTCCAGGCCCTGCAGTGACTGAAGGGGCTGGGATTCCGGCTGGAGTACACCCTGCTCTTTTAAATCCCACACTTCCAACATCATTCAGAAAAGGAGGCTAAATGCAAAGTGCCCCCGCCCCCAGCCGCTGCTGAAGGCCCTGGCGACCTATGAGTGGTTCCAACCTTGCCTGGAGCTGACCCCTGCCTTCCTCCCCATCTGTGTCCCTGCCCCCAGCACAGAGCCACGGGCTGGGGAGGCAGTAGATAGGCCAACTCAAGGACTGGCCCAAGGTCCCTCCCAGGGAGGAGCCAGCTCCTCCCGGTTCCACAGGAGGGGGAGTATTTTGTCTTTTCCCTGAGTGTATGCTCTTGACATCCGTAGGAGTCGCCAGAGAGCCAGGGCTGGCCAGGCTCCTTCTCCTCACCCCCTCTGTGTCCAGGAAGTCTCATGTCTTCCAGGACAGTGCTCCTTCTAGAAGCTGTCATGAAGTTGATCACAGCTCTTGGAAGCTGGGCCCAAGGCTTAGAAAATGGAGATCGTGTGAGATCGGAGCAATAGGCCCACGTGAGGGTGCCCTGTGGCTGAGGGTGGGTGTCACCCAGGGCCTCAGACCAGTGTCTTCTTAGAAAAGACCAAAGGAGGGCGCTGGAGGAGCACCAGGCACCTGCCATCACCAAGAGCTTGTTGGATGGGGCGCTAAGGCTCTGGAGGACCCACATTTGTTCAGGAGTCAGCTGCCACACGGGCCATGGAGACGGCAGTGATTGGGGTGGTACTGGTGTTGTTCGTGGTCACTGTGGCCATCACCTGCGTCCTCTGCTGCTTCAGCTGTGACTCAAGGATCCAGCATCCTCAGGGGGGTCCTGGCCACAGCTTCACCGTGGCCACATTTCGCCAGGAGGCTTCTCTCTTCACCGGGCCTGACCGCCACTCCCTGCCAGCACCAAGTGCCCGGGACTTCTGGACCTTCATGTGAGGCCTAGCAGTCCTCTAGGATTACCCTGGTGTCCTACTTTTGAGTCCTGCCTCCCTGACCTACCCCTCCTGTGTCCTGTGTGTCCTCATGTCCTCTCATCTTGGCTTGCTGTGCCCTCCAGCCTGGTGGATCCACCGTGTGGGGACCAGGTAGGAGTCAGTTCCGATCTGAAGCTCAGCTGAGCTCTGTCCACAGCATGGGCTTAGGAAATGTCCAGGGAGTCACGCGTCAGATTGCATGGTGGGGCAGCTCTGCTGATGTACACCTGGCCTGACACTGGAACTTACTATAAACAGCGCTTGTGACACTGGTCCTACTGCCACGGGGGAAGCAGCGCCCCCAAGCGGACATTTTCAGAAACGGCTTCTTATCTGCACCCGGGTTGAGTATTTTTGCACATTGCACAGAGCCTAAGGCTTAGGCCTGCTCCCTGCCAGCTGCCTGAAATCAGTCCTGAAATTCTGAAACCAAGAATCTACTTCCTAGAGACAAATGATTTATTTTATAATTGAGCATGCATATCCTTTTATGGGCCTTTCCAAATCTGGTTTGGAAAGCCACAAAAGGAAGCAGAAAAGAATACGAGAGTAACAAGGTACAAGATGTTTTATTAGCAGTAGAGTCAGAAAGAAGACTTTTTTTTTGAGACAGAGTCTCAAGCTGTTGCCCTGGGTAGAGTGCTGTGGTGTCATAGCTCACAGCAACCTCAAACTCTTGGGCTTAAGCGATTCTCTTGCCTCAGCCTCCCAAGTAGCTGGGACCACAGGCGCCTACCACAATGCCTGGCTATTTTTGTTGTTGTTGCAGCTGTCATTGTTGTTTAGCATGCCCAGGCTGGGTTTGAACCCGCCAGGCTTGGTGTATGTGGCTGGCGCTCTACCCACTGAGCTCAGGCGCCACCCAGAAAGAAGACTTTTAAACATATTTTGAATAAGACTTTATTTCTCTATTCTTACAGGTCACTTCTAAGAGAATGTGAGTGACTTGCGTCACTTAGGAATGATAGAGAAATCGTGAAGTGAAAGATAATTCCAAAAAAGTTAAAATGTCACATTCAGAGCATGTAACAAAGCTCTTGTTTTCATCACAAATAAAGAGCTATTCAGCTTTTATTAATAGATAATCTGTTCTCTCTGTGGACATGGAATAAGTGCCATGCTAGATTTCAAGAGTATGGTTTAAAGGGTGCAAAATTGTGAGTCTCCTGTCTGTGTCTGAACCCAGCTCTGAATGGGTGGCTGTCCCAGGACCTGCTTGTTGAGGGGGTACACAGATGGCTGACAGTGCCATGTTGCTGCCCCAGGAAGGGCTCTCAGAGAGAGAGGGCTGGGGCTAGAGAGGTACACGGAGGAAAGTTCAGGGAGAGAGTCAAACTGAAGGGGAGGGCAGGGGCCCAGCCTGGGGACAGGAGTTTCTGGTTACTCTGGACACTACAGCCCCTGAGCAGGGCCTGGTGGAAAGGAACTACCTGCATGCAGGGAGGCCTTGTGAACTGAGTGCACTGTCATAGATCTTGTTCTCTAAAAGCGAACTCTGGGACAAAGTTCAGGGACAAGATGCTTACTAGGGATGGACCCAGACAGTGTATTTCCATGGGGATGGAGTGGTCCTGTTCCCAGAAGTACTTAGACTGGTCAGAAATGGGGGAGGGTGTTCAGGCACACCCTCTGGATTTCCTGGGCACAGGCACTCCAGGAGGGGAGAGGCAGCTGGGCAGGATCTGGAAGGGGAGAAGAGCAGCACAGCCTCCCTCTACCCACAGGCAGTCAGGTCTGCTCCAGGGCAGGCACCTGCCAGTGAGAGCCAGGCCTAAGGCTCCTCTTGCACTATGTGGTCACAGCTCTCCCTCAGGAGAGAGTCAGGTTGAAGGTTCCTCCCTGTGTGGACCAGTCCAGGGAGTGCCTGCAGGCTGGAATCACAGGACTGTGAAAACAAAACAATGGCAGTGGTGAGGGATGGCTTCCCTCCTCAGGGGACAGGTGATCTGTCAAGCCCTGAGTTCTTCTCATTTACTCACTTGCTTATCTACATGCCCACTCACTCCCCATCTATCCATCCACCCACCCATCCACTCAACCATCTCTGTACTCACCTATCTACTTCCTGAGTCTCACTTCCACACTTACCCATGCATTTATTCATTCATTCCTTCACTCATTCGCTTATTCAGTTATTGACTTCTCCATTCAATAAACACTAACTGAGCTCTGACGGTATACCAGGCCCTGCCCAGGAGACGTGGGAGCCAACTGGACATTCAGACTCAGGGAACTCCCGGATAAAACTACAGATTTTGGGGGCTCCGGGGATAGAGAGCTGGGAGGCCCAGGGAAACCTGGAAGGAGGAGGCCCTTGAGCTGGACTTGAAGAGCGGAGGCTTCAATAAGAACCTGGGGGAAGGTGTTGCAGACAGAGGGCACAGCATGAGTGAAGGTTCAAAGAACAGGGGATCAGAGGGGCCAGCAGTTCGGCTTGGCCAAGCATGAGGAGATGAGGTTGGATAGCAGGCAGCTCCCGAGGGAAGCACATCTTGCCACACCTGGCTGGCATCCTCAGCAGAGACAGCTTTGCTTACCAGGCTGGGCAGGACCAGGCTCTGAACATGCATAGTGGCACTGCCATATGCTGCTGCTGCAGGGGAGAGGTGGCTTCTGTAGCAGGAACCTGGATGGAGGTTGATCTGAGGACATTGGAGAAGCCATCCCAGGAGGGCGGGGAGCAGGAGGTGAGAAAGCAGTGAAGATCACTACCCTGGAACAGCTGGCACAGGGCGGGGCCGGGGGAGCAGCCAGAGTGGGACATGAAAGTGAGGAGTGCAGGGCAGAGACTGGGGTGTAGGGCAGCCAGATTAATACTGGACATCCAGTTAAACTGGGATTTCAGGTAGACAACAAATAATGTTTTAATGTAAGTACGTTCCAAATAATGCATAATACCCAGATAGGTAATAAATAATGTTTTAGTGTAAGTATGTCCCATGCATTGTTTGGGACACACTTACACTAAGACATTTTTTGTTATCTGTCTGAAATCCCAGTTTAACAGGGCATTCTACATTTAATCTGGTGGCCCCACTGTGGCGAAGGTGCCTCTGAGAGGGTGTGTCAGCTGGTTGAAGGCAGCAGGGGGGCTGGCAAAATGAGCAGAGAAGGGTCCCTGGAGTTTGCAGCACGAGCGTCGGTGATGGTATTAGTGAGAATGGTTCAAGGGCAGTGAAGTGAGCAGCCCCACATGGGGTAGGGCTGTGTGTACGCTGTGGTGTGTGTGGGATGTGAGAGTATGAGTGTGTATGTATCCATGGTAGAGTATGTGTGTGGTATGTGTTTTTGTGCGATGTGTGTATTGTGTGTGGTATGTGAGAGTGTGTGTGGTGAATGCACAATGTGAGTATGGTACGTATGTGTGGATATGTGGGGTGGTGTGTGTGGTATGTTAGAGCATGTGTGGTGTATGTGTTGTGAATTGTGTGTGTGTGCATGGTGTGTATGTTGCGTGTGTGACTGAGAGTGTGTGTGTTGTGGTGTGTGGTATGTGAGTGCTGTGGTGTGTATGTTGTGCTGTGTGTGGCGTGTGTTGTGGTGTGTGTGAATGTGTGTGTTGTGCTGCGTGTGTGGTATGTGTGTGTTGTGCTGTGTGTGAATGTGTGTATGTTGTGCTGTGCGTGAATGTCTGTGTTGTGCTGCATGTGTGGCATGTACGTGATGTGGTGTGTATGTTGTGCTGTGTGTGAATGTGGGGGTGTTGTGCTGTGTGTGGCATGTGTGTGTTTTGGTATGTATGTTGTGCAGTGTGTGAATGTGTGTTGTGCTGTGCGTGTTGTGGTGTGTATGTTGTGCTGTGTGCGTTGTGCTGCGTGTGTGACATGTGCGTGTTGTGGTGTGTACGTTAGGGTGACCAGACATCCCGCTTTTTGCGGGACAGTCCCGCTTTTTAACAATTTGTCCCGGGTCCCTCGGCATTTTAAAAAAGCCCCGATTTTTGGAAAGAACGCACGAACTGGCGGGAGAACAGGAAGGGAATATACGGTTTTCGGCTGCCATGTGGCTATTTCGCCAGAATATGAGTTTTATATTCTTTTTGTTAATTTTATAATGTTAAACTGTAATAATAACAAATAATTGTTGAGAAGTGATTATCGAGAACTGCTTATCAAAGTTTGCATTGTCGTCAGGCCCTGCCCTGCCCCGTCCCTTGCCCCACCCCCGGCCATGTTGTCCCGCTTAACAAATGTTAAAATCTGGTCAACCTAGTGTGCATTGTGCTGCGTGGGTGGCATGTGCGTGACGTGGTGTGTGCGTTGTGCTGCGTGGGTGGCATGTGCG